GGACGCAGCAGCTGGCCGACTCCCGGGCGCCTCGCTGCTCCTGGAACCCTCCTCGCTGACGGCCACCATCAAGGACGTGCCCCTGTTCAGGCTGCGCCACTTCCCCTGCGGAAACGTCAACTACGGCTACCAGCAGCAGGGCCTGCCCCTCGAGGCCGCCGGCCCGGGCCCGGGCCGCTACGAGGACCCCGGGCTGAAGAGCCAGCCTGGGCCCTGAGCCCGCGGGGAGGGACAGGTAACACGCCACCAGAGACCAAATGTCACTTTTCATTTTGTGCCAACTTGTTTTGAAGTGCCACATACAGAGCTGTGTTTTCCAATTGCTTCAGAGAGGTTTTGAGCACAGGTTGACCCTGGTCTTTCAGGAGAGGACAGACAGCAGGCCGAGACGGGCTTGTACAGGCTCGGGAAGCACGGTGGGTGTCCCCTCCCTCCCGCTTCTTTCACTTCGCGCGTGCTTGGCCCCCACCCAGTCAGAACTAGCTGCTCAGGTGTTTCCTAGTGGAGTCGGAGATGCTTCCTTACCTGGTTGATGTGGACCTGGAGCACGTGAGGGCAGAGGGAACAGGAATAAAGGCGTTATCTGTGGTGAGTCAGCACAAGGAAAGAGACATTCTTTACTTGGAAAGGAAAAACAGACAACTCACTGAAACATCCCCATGGATGACGTTTGGATGCTTTCAGTTGTGCTGACGATTGTTTGTTAAATTGTGGTGAATAGTTACGGTTGTAGAAAGTGTGTATCTGCTCATCTAAATGAACTGCAATATTCCAATTGCTTAGAGGATAATAAAACACCAGGACAGATCCAGAGATTCAAACATCCTATTAATATACCTCATGCCTTAAGAAAACCCTCCTACTAAAATTGAACAACTGACTGTGAGGTTTCCTACTGCACTAACTTGAGATTTAAATTATTACTTGTTTTAAAACTTTCCACTAAAATAAACTACACTGAAAACAAAATTTCAGCAGCAGTGATAGATCAAAGCATAGAAACCTCCCATTCATGGGCACTAGAGTCAAACCTGCTCACAGTTCCAATCATAAATGTTACTAAGTTGAAGTTTCTACTTGCAGGATGGCTCACTGGAGTAGCAGGCCTTCCGGGGGTCCTCAGGAGAGAGGTACTAATGCAGTGTCCTTCCAGGTTTCACCCGAGTTTTCTCTCCCTTAATCAGGTGATCCTAACATATGTGGGAACACAAATTTACTGAAATACATGCAGCATAACTTGTAGACCTGTCAAATACAGAGTAAAACAGAATTTTGTCTCTGGGTGGCAATGAGTAAAGGAATTAAGGGACACTTGGAGTGCTGAGGTTGGCAGTGACATGTTACAATGGGAGTTCTGAACTTGGTTTTCACATATGAAATTTTTCTCCATAAAAACGAACTGGGACTCTGTTAAATCTTACACACCTACATATGCAGTGCTACTTTATCAGTAAGTTTCCATCTTGTTCTTTCTGCTTCCCCTCTGTTCTCTTGCCCGGTTTCTTTTCTGGTGGTAGCTGTGCCAAAACATCACTTTGCGAGGAAAGCATTTTTTTATCGCTTGCTAGGCACTAAGCATTCCCGAGCAAAAGGACTGGGTGGATCTACCTTTTCCCTTACCTTCTCAATTTCATCTACATCAAAAGTATCACTCTGGCAGATGTGCGAAAGCCATCCTGTTCTAAGCCAACGCTAGACCAGTGAGTGTTCATTCCTCCTAGGGCAGGTGCCTCACCTTAGTCAGTAGTTCTGCACACTGATAACCCTGGAACCACCTTTCCTTTATCTTCTTAACTGCCAGAAATATTTTCATCAGACACACATGGAGATGAACCGTCAGTGAACTCATCTCTAAATACCTGTATCAAAAGTTTTAGTACATGCCAGGCACAAATAGCCTAATTATATAAACATTAACTCAAAAACCACTTGCAGGGGTCCAAGAATCACTTTCTGAGAAACACTTTCCTAAAAGGGTAATGACAGGAGCTGTCAAAACTGAGAACCACTTCATATGTATAACACCAGTAACCAATTAAACAGGGAGCATGCTACATGGTTAAACAGCCAACTCATTAACAAGGGAGAAATCCTTACTTTTTCTCTTCTTAAAACTACAAATCCATCACATTTTTCAGGTTGTGCCTTACTACCACTGAGATTGATTTGTTGATTCTAATTGTCTTTATTGGTGTCAGTTTTCGTGTAAATGATAGTCCAACCTTAAAAGCCTGTATACATGGATAATAAAAAACTCCACGTGGAGCTATGACGACCTCAAGATGTTTCGCTGAAATTGCTGTAAGCCCTGGGTATCAGCACGGTATTAATATGGACCACTGTCCACTCACCATATGGCTCCAGCAATTCACACAGATGCTGTGGATGCTCATACTTACTTATTAATTAGGATGGAAAGGTCTACCTAGAACAGGAACAGGCACAAAGTCTGGAGAAGCTATGTTAATTAAACCATAAGCTAGTATAATTATTCATATTCCACATCTATAAAGAAGCTCATCAAAAGTTCACAACCACTCCAATGGGAAATTGGTAATTTATGAAGAATGACCAGTTAATATGTGGCACCTCAAAATTACAGCAAATAGAAACAGTAAGAAATAGTAATTTTTTAGAAATAGTAAGATCTACTTAGTTGAAAGACCAGATTCTCTAGCCCCAGTTAGGATGTGAGTCCTGGCTCTCTGTGGGTTATCGGACCTGTCTGTACCTCAGTGTCTCCATACACGTCCCTTTCTCACCGCCCCTCAATCAGGTTACAGACTCTGGGAACGCACAAGTTCTCTTTTACACCTCTTCAGTTCCCAAGTGACGTGGGCTTGGGTGTGGGGAGAATTTGAGCAGTCAGAGCATGTCTCCACACACCTGCACTCCCCACTGCTCCCGTCCGGCTCTCTGGGCTCTCTCCCACTTGTGCCACACCGGCTTCATCTGTCACTTGTTTAATGACAGCAGCAAGAACCCTACCAGAAGCAAGTCCTTTCAGTGCAAAAGAAAAATGTAAAGACTCCCTACAACACTTAGTGTTAAAAAATGAGCATCACAGAAAGGAAGCTATTTAATCAACTTGATGAATTCTTTTTTAAAAAATTACTGGCATCTTCACTCAGTGATGTTAAACTTGGTAAACTCTACTACAGCTGTACGATCTTATGTAACTGCAGATTATAACATTATTCCATAAAATATGGGGCTTTACATCCGAATTCACAGGGCATACCACTAAGAAACTAGGTTTGATAGATTTTTCTCCAATAATAGCAGGATTAAAGTTCCAAGAGCTTTCTAGACCTAAAACACGATGCATAGGAATTCAGACTGGAATAACAGACTTCCCATGACAAGATTCATAAAATTGTATGAAGTGTGTTGTCAATCTGTCTTTAGCTAATGACTTTTTAAATGGGTCCCCAAAGAACATACAGTTTGACTTGGCTAATTTCATTGCAGCAGATGGTTCCCTGTGCCGTTGTGTGAACATACAAAACAAAGACTAGCGTTCCCAAAATCCGCCACAAGATGCCCTAAAATAAAAGATAATCATCAAGAACAAACAGTAAGGCTTCTATTAAGATTCTGTTTTGATTTGGTATCCTGAGTAGGAGCATTTAATTTTTAATGCACCACTCAAATACAGAGCTAATTTTAGCTCTAGCTTAACAACTTCAAAACATTTGAAAAGCTCAGTGTAAGCAAATATAACAGACATTTGGGGGGAGGGGGGAACATGGCTTATAACTACAAAACTGAAGCAATGACTCTACCCTTCAGTGTTCAGTAACTGTAAGCAAGTATGTCACCCATCCAAGTAAAGATGGCACCACCAGGCTCACCTCAGGGAAACCGCAGATCCCAGGTCCGTTGGTGGCACCATCCCCTGTCCGGCTCCTCAGAGCCCTCTGCTTGACACCTGCTGCTCCAGCTGCCGCCCCACTCCACTCATCTACTTAGGCCTGCTGCCTCCTTGAAAGCAATTACTCACAATTAGTTATCCCGCCATCACACAAAGGCTGGTCGGGCAGCACTTGTCAGTTGAAAGGCAGTCTTATTAAATGAACTCACTAAGCCTTAGCGACCAGTGTATTAACGCTCCCTAGAGCACTTACATTTGAGAGGTTATTTACCAGTATGGATGACTATCAGACTTGTAAAACCTCAGATGGTTGTTATAATTCGCACGGCTAGGCACTCGTCAATTATTTGAGAAACAGCAAGCAGAGGGCAGCAGTTAAGAGATGTAGGTATTAGACAGCAGTTACCACCTACATGACAAGCGAGTTAAACTCTCACTTTCTCATTTAAAAACATGAGCAGTTTAGTCTCAAAGGCCCCTTTTCAACTCCAAAGTCTGATTCTGTAAGACTTCACCTCTGTGTAAGGCAAATCCCAACATCTGGCCCACCGTAGGTAGGACAAGAATGTGTGTGTGTGTAAGTAGGACAAAAATGGGTATGGGTGGGTGGGTGTGTGTGTGAGAGACTTAATTCATTCAGAGCCAAAGCCAATTAATTCAGTGCACAATCCCACTGAGCCAAATTATATTTAAACTTTATACAAAAGTAGACCAAAATGAAGTTTAGTATCAATTCTCTGTTTAGTCTTTCTATTCAAAGATCTCTTTAACAAGTCATAAAATCATTAACATAGCAAGATGAGGTTAATCTAGGGTGCTTCCGGAAAGAAGCTACCCTGACACAGGATTATGACAATCATGTCTGTTTAACAACCTTCATGCTCACCATCACACCACTTATTTCTCTTCTGTTGCATTTGGTACAATGGCAGCCTTATTAGTAAAGTCAAATCATGCAACTTTTCACCTGAAGGTTACTTTTATCACACCTAATATTCAATGACATATCTGGTACACTTTGTCCGTGCCTGTTCCCAGAGTAACAGAGCCCAGGATAAGCCACACGTCGAGACCAGGAGGTGTATGTGGAGTCAGGCATCCCGGAATAAGCATCATGGAACCATTACAATGAGGGATTCACTAATAACAGGAACCCTCTCTCAGTCACCACTGGATTGGGCTGAATCCCTCTTTTCAGGTTTGTAGAGACAGCCACTGCCACTGGATGGCAATTTTTTGAAACCTGCTCCAAGTTATAGAGCTTCACAGTGAATCTAGGAATAGGGAATCCCCCCAAAAAGAGTCAGCTCAAATGTCCCACCACAAGAGAGGACTGTGAAGATTACGGTAATTTCCTACATTTTAGTGCATCTAACAGTTGAGAAAAAAACCAATTTAAATATTTTTGCATTAACTCAAAATAATATTTATGTTGTATCTCACAGTTCTGAGAGAAATGAAGATTAAAGAGAGATTCATTTCCTCACGTATGTACCAGTAAGCAGCTGGTGATGTTTTACAAAAGAAAAGAAACTAAAACCAAACATGACACTGGATTTTCCTCTGTCACCCACAGGGAGTGTGAAGTGAGGCCTCAAGAAATCTCATTATATTTCTTAATTCCTTAAGCTCTAGTCCCTTCAAGAAAGAGGAAACAAAATCACTTGAGAAAATCACAACATTTTAAACCAATATATATAATCTATCGGAACTCTAATTAGAAATCCATTTTTACTGGCAGGTTCCATAAAGGAGACTGAAAATTTTCACTTTACTCTTCTCTATTGTCTGTAATGCAAAGTCCACTTTCCCCAGCCACCAATATGGGACTTTATATGACTATTAAAATTCACTTTAAAATCCATTTCAGAGTATTTTTCCCAAAGACAGTGCACAGTAACACCTATCCTTCACAACAAGAACTGTCAGGGACAGCCAGTATCACGAACGCTGTTGACAAATTTAAGCAGAATCTTGGAAGTCATGTTAGAGAAAGAATAAAAAGAATGGCTTGACGCTGTGCATATAATTTTAACATGATTCATTCCCAAGTCCATCTGACTTGATTTGTTACGTGAAAAATAATTAGTTCCGTCTTCAACAAGGTGAGGGTACTTTGAGTTAACACCATGACGGACTCTATTAGGCTGGAGATGAAAGAGCTCTGTGAGATCAGCCCGGCCAAGGAGAGCACAGCACGTGGATACTGAAACCCCCGACGCCAGGAATGCTTAGAATCCAAGTTCAGCTCAGTGCAAGGCGATTCCTGACAGCCCCTATTTCATTTCATTTATCCAATTTGAACAACTCTGCCTAAACATCCAGTCCTGACACCAAGTCCCCCCGAGGACAGAGGCCTGTGGGTAAAGGCCTGAACGTCCACAGTAGCAGCGAACTTGACATCTGGGCTCATTTAGAATTCTAGAGCTGAAATTAAACAAGATTTATGAACATTTCTTAAATAACACCAGTGATCACAGGGGACAGGTTATGTTTCAAGCTAAGAGCCTCAATTTAAACACCTAGAAGTGTCTTTACTAACTTAACTCAGAACCTACTGCCGCCCCTCAGCACCAGGACCCGACTTCCATACTTCACCATGAAGTTCTATTTGCTAGGTATTCTAAAGGGACAAGAGGAAAAAAGGTCCCCACACTCCTTGGTGCCTTGCTCCTCAAGGGAAAAGGCTGTGATTTTTGCTTCTATCAAGTATCATGAAAAAACAGTCAGTAATGTGTGCCCATCTAACTCTCTAATTCTTCCACATAGATTCTTTTTCCCTCTTGTAAAAAGGGAGCACTGACAGAAATTTTGCTAGAAAAAATTCTTTTTGCCTATGCAAAGGCATCATGTTCTGCTTATAATAAGATTTTAACACAACCTACTTAATTGGTTCAGCCCACACAAGCTCCATTAAGAATGTCTCTTGTATATTCAAGCAGCTTATGTGACATTGTTTGTAAATAAGGGCCTATGTACCAAGGGATATTATTAACAATTACTAAAAATATATGTGATGATGTGAGTTTTGTATTAACTACTGTGTTTGTATTATAAGTTAGTGTAGTGAAATAAAGAGCATGAAGAATAAAAAATAAATTCTTCTACTTGCTTGCCATCTGATGGTCCATATTCTATGTCTCTGAGTCAATCATTTAGAATAATCATCTACTGAACAGTTAAAATTAGTAGACTTATTTCCTAAATAAGAATGACTTTTAACATACTAGGTCTCTAGCCATTGGTCAGTGTGGCTTAAATAATGTCACCATATGGTCTAAATAAGTAGGTTCAAAATAAAACTCTGAAATAAAGTCAGTGCTCGACCCCGGAGCCCAATGCTGTGCACACCCAACCCAGTTCATTCTATGTTGGGCCACACACGTCACTGTGTTCTCTCAAGTACCATCATATCACAACAGAAATTCAAAGCCAGCCCCGGGGGAAACAGGCAGTTAGGTGACCCCACTGTGTCTTTCCTGCCCCCTTTTCTACCTAGCATCTTTCCGTCTCCTTCATGTCACTGTCCTGGGGTAAAGTTGGGTTACCATGATTCAAACCTTTCCTGTCCTTTGTTCTCCCTCATCCGGCAAAATGTACCCATCCTGTGACCTGGCCTCTGCAGGCCACCTATCTGAAGCCTGTGAGACAATACCTCTACTTCAAATTATCGATGGCCTCCTCCGCCTCCTGTTCATCCAGCAAACGTTTCCTGAGCATCTGGTCGGTGCCAAGTATTATTCCAGGAGTCAGGGATGAAGCAATGAACAAAGCACTCAAAGTCCATCCCTCAATCCAAGTGGGGGAAGAGAGAAATAATAAGCAAAACGTTTAGCATGACCAAGGGTGGTAAATGCTAAGGGGGAAAATAACACATGGTTGGGAGGGTTGGCGAGGAGTCGGAGAGAGGACGGCACAAGGGACTCACCGAGATTACACTGTCTCGGTTCAGATTCCACAACTGTCTGGATCTCAACGCTTTTAAGCACTTAGAAATACTCCCGCCAATTTACCTTAAAATACAGAAACAAAGTCTTTTAGTAAAAGATAGGTACTTATTTATATATATTTTTAAACCTATAAATTCAAAGTGTTCTATCCTACCCTAAACAAATGAAATCCCACTGGCGTAAAAGATAATTAAGCAATTTAAAACACTGTAGAAACACATTCTTCTCTTAAACGGCTCTCTGTCCATCAAAACAATGTAGTAGGATGGTGGCTAAAAACATAACTTCATTTGCTCAGTAGAAAGCATGGTACTTTTTAAGACTCTTTATAGGGATAGGAAAATCCAAGCCATTACTGTAGGAAGGAAGAAAGTTAAATTCAAAGCATACATACTCTGAGTACCTGGGAAAAGGAGGGTTGCAGGCATGGTCAATGACAACATACCATTCCAAACCGAAACAGCTTCCCTTTTTATTAATGCTCAAGAAGTGATCTTTGAATGACACAAGCAAAACACAAATGAAAACACCTAATTTTTATGCATAGCATAGGGAAAAATACACAGTACATGGATTTATAATCCTAGTCTAAATATGCCACCAATTGGTTCTCTGACCTCAAAATAAATTCGGTGTTGGCATTACTGTTTCTAACATACGGGGTCTTAACAGGAAGAACTATGAACACCCCAGTTCAGTGTAGTCATGGGTTTCATGGTAAGGTATAAATAGAGTTTTTAAAGAAATAAACTGTATAATAAAATAAGTTTACTTTAGAATCACAGTACAGTCATTTTCTTCAATCAATAAAAATATTCCTTGATTATAAAGCAGCCTTATTTTGCAAACATACTTCAGGAAAATAGCTCTAGCAATATTTGAAATTTCATATTTTAAAAGGCAGCAAAGCAACAGCATTTAGATTTTAAATAGTATATTGCAAAATAGTTCAGTGTATTATTTCCAAGCACAAAGCAAGCTCCATTCTGAAGGATGCTTTTAATCTTATAAAGCAAACTGTTCTGATATTTCTGTGGTAGTTTAAAGACTAAATATCTACAATAAAAGATAAATCTTTACACACGTCAGACATAAACTTCAATACATATTCACAACACAAATGTTTTTCATTACTACATCACTCTGTTACAGAGCTCAGTCTGTTAATGTGTGCTCAAAAGGAAAACACATGATCCAGCTCCGCAGCTTTGTCACAGGCTGAATTCTGCAACAACTGAATATATAAAAGCAGCAACAATAGCAAACACAACATCAGTTTTATGAATAAAACAAAAAAACCAAGAAATCATAAACATTTAAACGAGTAACTACCACATTCTTCTTAATTTGCTCTCTTCTCCTACATACAATTTGTTTGTTTTTCATATCCCCAGGAGGAAATGATGGCAAATTCTCCACAAAGAGGAAAGTGCATCATGTTTTATTTTAAAAGTGCTTCGTGTATGTGTGTTTTATAAGTACGTCCAATAAGGAAGATCAATTAAGTATGTGCAAAAAAGTTCTAACTGTAACTTGAATTCATAAACCTAATCATGGGTTTCTTCAGTCTGTCCAGATGAGGCAGTCGCCAACACGGAAGAAAAACTGCGATGACACACTCTGTGCAGAGGAGCGCGCCTGAGCCACAGGTCAGGAGTCCCCCGCACTACTCTTAGCTGTTAATCAGCTCTTGTGACCCCGGGGAGGAAGAACGGCTTTAAAACCTGGCAACAGGCGAGACACTGAGCTCCACAGCCTCAAAGGCCCACCCACCCCCCAGCTCTAAAGTATCTTTAGGTGAGGCATTCCTGGAAGGAGGGCAAATAACTACCCCAAAACATGAAAAATACACCAGTTGCACAGCTGTTATTTCTTACTGTACTTATTAGTACAAAGGAAAAAAAAAGTCCAAAAATACTTGGCAGGAAAAGCTTGTCTTAACCAAAGCTAGTGAAAACTTCCACAATTATGGCGTATGAAAAAAATCCAGTCTTCTGTGCAAAAATGAGAGTAAATAAGCAACATCAGTGGGTCACCTAATGGCATGTTTTTTCCCCCAAGCCTCAGAATTTTCTTGGGTCTAAAGCTTTAAAAACTTTAAAAGAAAAAAAAAGGCTTTTAAAATTGTTTTAAGAGAACGATGGCTCCCCCAGTTCATATTCCCAGCTTTTTAAAGACGTCTCTCTGAATTGTTATAATGGTTTTTATGAAGATAGCTATACTGTCAAATTTTAAATGGCTAAATAAAGTAAACCATTTGCTATGGACTATTTTATATTATGTCTGCTTTATATATAGATATGTGTGTGTGTGTGTGTCTGTGTGTGTGTCTGTGTACTCATTCAATACTGTAGAAGTTTAACTCAGCAACTCGTCCACCAGCTTCGACCCGTTTATCCCGCGGTAGGTCACCCTGCTGGGCCGCACGAGGACCCCGTGGTTGGGCTTGCACGTGAAGTAGCGCTTCTCTCCCACTGCCCCATCATTCTTCCCCTTGGCGCTTCGAAGCTCCAGGCCCAGCCAGATCCCCGCGGCAAAGTCAGTGGGGCCCACATACCTAACGGTGCCCATCTCGTTGGAGCTGGTGAGGAGGACCTGGGAGCCCTCGTGCAGCTTCACGGCGCCCTCCAGGCCGCCGGCGGCGGTGCTGCTGCTCCAGCTGCGGCGCAGAGCGGGCTTGGACCTGCGCGGGGACGAGAGGGAGAGGCCGTGACGCCGCGGGCCGGACGCCGCTGCCCGCGCCGCGCAGTTCACAGAAGACGACACCTGCTCACAACCTGACTTTTTTATTCTAAAGAGCAATATTAGAGGATGCTTTTAACATTAAAAAGGTTTTCTCTTTTGGC